GAACAAACTGAAGAAAAGGAAAAAATGGAAAAGGAAATCAATTGCTAAAAGAAACCAATAATACTTTGGAACAAGAAGTTGAACTGCTACGAAAGAAATGTTTTCAACTTCAAGATGCTGAGGTACAAGAAAACGATGTGGTCAATAATGAACCATATGCATACCAGTAAGTGATATGGAATTTTGAAAAAATAATTGACTATTATTATGTTAGGGATACTTACTCTTATGACTATTCAGTAACAGGTAATGTAGTAATGTAAACAATGTAATATAATAATGTAAACATAAGTAATAATAGTAATATAAGTAGTGTGAACTTTTTAATGATGATTTCATTTTCATTTTCATTTTAGATTTTGATAGCAGGATTCCACATGACAGCAACAATAATGATTATAGTAAATAAACTGTCACAGAAATAATCATTTTGATTAATAATGTTTTTAGGTCTTGATAATGTAGTTACCTAATGGGAGGCTGTAACAAAAATGCAGAAAAATTTTGCCCCAAAAAAAAGAAGTGTTCGCCGCTTCATCTACAGAGCACTAATGAAACTGCATATATCTGTATAACTGAATACACCAAGCATGAAATCATACTTTTTGGTGATACATCAGCTATTATTATTATAGCTGGTAAGACATTCCACGATACATGCATGACTTGTACAGAACCTGTACAAGTCATGTATGTATGTCTTACCAGCTATATAATTACCAAAAAGTATGTTATCATGTTTCCTGTATTTATAAAAAGTTGTATAAAATATATGCTTTTTTATTGGTACTCTTTGCTATGTGCTATAAACGTATTGCTATAAATGTATTTCTTGTTATTATTATTATTATTATTATTGCCTTTTTGTGTGCTATCTAAGCAAATTTTTAATAAAAATGATTATCTTATTGTTTCTTTTACACCTTTTAAAATAAAGTACATGTATCAATGAACATTTATTTTGCTAATCCAATAGTTTTCAATAATTATGTGAATGTCACAATGAAAATTACACTAGAATAAAATCCAACTACACATAAAATTATGGTAAATAGAGTATAATAATTCATAACATAATTAACATTAGAAATAGATCTACACTTTCCAAAGACATAATTGTAGTTCATATAATTATAGTGTCAGCGAGTGTAATGTAAGTCATATTAATAATAATAATTAATGATTAGTTTGTTTTCTTTTTTTTTGAAGTCCCTGCTATATTAACTGCCTGTTCTAGGCCTCTCTGTAATAATTTCATATAAATCGGTTGTAAAGCCTATGAATAAAAGAAGCAGAATCATAATACATGCACAAGTAAATTCTCAGCAACACGACATGTATGTAAACACTAATTCTCATGCTAAGAAAAAAGTTGAGTAACAGACAAAACCCTGCTTATGCACATTTTTAATTTCTAATACACAGTATGTACATGTACACACAATCACTCAACGTACAAACAGTGCTACCCACTTGATCCCATATAGCTGAAGTAAAGTTATCAATGATGGTTCCTACGCTCCTCAACTGTCCAGTGTACCTCACGTAGACCCATAGCCCAACCAGCAGCAGTGGTATGTACAGACCCAGTACAGCAGTCTGTGAGAGGCTCTCTATGCCAAACATATCCAATATGGTGGAGAGGATATAAGAGAGGACCATCACAAGACAAAGGACAGCTGGCGTCCTGTATGCATTCATCAGTTGCTTGCTCTCGTTACGTTTGACAAAGTTCTCGTACGCTTCGTCGATCATTATCTCTAGTTTCTTCATGTATTCAGCGCTGAAGACATCCCCGCCCATCTTGGGCGTCTCGAAGAACTGTTCCAGGCAGAGCATTTGGAGAGACTTGTGTTCCTCTTCAAGTTTCTGAGGAGCTAAGTAAGGTTTATCAGCACCACACAACTACAATGTAGCATAAGAGGATTAGAAAAAGAGAAAAACAAGTAAAAGGTGGAGTAAGTACGTGGATATGTATATAAGCCAGGGTTTCATAGAGGGGGGGGGTGGCACTGGGATTTCCCCCCCACAAAAAATTCTGTATGAAAGCCTGCTCAATGAAGTAATTACAAATATACATTGTACATGTATGCAGAAGCCAGCACATTTTAGAGTCCCCCCCCTACAATAAATTTCTGTATGAAAGCCTGTAAGCAATAGAACATGCTCTTACTTCTTCCATTTCTTTATTATACTTGTCAATGGCAGCTGCTTGTGCTG